TCGTAGGCGCAGCAGATAGCGTCGGGACGCTCGAGTTGGAGGTGGGCAAAACGGCAGTTCACAGGGAGCATGCGGAACAGTAGGTGTAGCCACACATCACCCTGTACCGGGGGAGGAATCCAACATGTCCGCCTGACACGCTTAGCATAGCTGTGGATAGCCGCAGTAGTCTCACAGGCCGTGCTGGACATGGGGTGGTGTCCCTCATGGATGGGGGCATGGTGGGCCAGAGCCAGAACCATTCGTCTTGGCCAGGACTCAAATGGTACAGGGGCATCCTTAGCCAGGCCATAGAATGGGTGTCGGGCCGTGGGGGGGGCTGGGGTGGCCGGGGGAGGCGGCTGGTTGAGCCCCAGGACGTTGGTATGGACACAGGTGAGGTGGTTGTAAAGCATCCCGGATCGGTACCCCTTGGAGAGGCTGTGCCGTCCACGACACCAACACCTCTACCCTCGTTTGGGGAGGACTTTCCATGGACGACGTCTCTACCCTCATTTATTTATGGAGGCCGCGACATCCATGTCGCCCTCATTTGGGGAGGATGGGACTTCAGCCCCCACCCCACTTGGGGAGGTTGATACGACCTCACCTCTACCCACACTTGGGGAGGCTTTACTTCGTGGGTCAACAGGTACAGTGTGGCAAGTCCCTGTCGTACATGACGTACCCGACATCACTCCACCTGTCTGTTTGGGTGGCATCCTCCGCCACCCTTCACACCAGTCGTCCACCACTCCGACGCCCAAGCGTCGTCGAACGTTGACCTTCAACACAACGGAGGAATATTTCCCCGTTCCATGTACCTCGTTCCACGAGAAGTACAGACTGCCGTACTCCGGCATGTGTGAGTACGACATCCACCTCCACTCCAACGTCGTCACATACGACAACCCCGTTGCTCGCAATTCCGCCTCGGCCCTCACGGTCTCGAGCAGCGGCGATTGCACATGTCGTACGTCGTCTCATCGACGTCTACCACACTGGACACCGCGGACGCGTGCACGCGACGGTCCAGCTCTGTTGCTTATGTCGTATATTGAGGACGCCTCAGACGCTCAATCCCTCTCGACGCCGCAACACATCCTCCTCGCCCTCAAGGACACGACTCCTTAAGAGGAGCCTAAGACCTACAAACAGGCGATGAAATCGCCAGCCAAAGCGCAGTGGCTTGAAGCCATGGTGCTCGAGCTGACAATCCATGAGGCGAACGGGTCGTTCGAACCAGCCACCTTGCCTCCACTGGGCATGCGTTTGGTGTTCAAAATCAAATACGACGACTCGGCCACAGAGGCAACGAGACGCGTCGCTCGCTACAAAGCGCGACTTGTGATCCAAGGACACACTCAAATTCAAGGCGTTGACTACGAGGAGAGCTAATCCCCGGTCATTGCCAAAGAAATCCTTCGAACGATGATCACTCTCGGCGCGTCTCTCGACTACGAGATCGAAGCAATGGATGTCATCACAGACTTTCTCAACGGGGAAATCGACTGCGAGGTCTACGTCAAACATCCACCTGGATTTGACACCGCGAAGAATCGCCGCGATGTCTTTCGGGTCCTCCGCAGTGTTTATGGCCTCAAGCAAGCCCCTCGCTTGTGGTACCAAACACTGGCTACCTACTTGCGCCGGCAAGGGTACACCCAGCTCGTCAAAGACCGCTGTGTCTTCACCAAGCAGATGGACAGCCATGCCGTTTATATCGGTGTCTACGTTGAGGACCTGGTCATCATGGCTCCTTCACCGGACATGATGCGCACCATCAAACATGGTCTGTCATCGCGTTTTCGAATGCATGACCTTGGGGCTCTCACTTTTATTCTCGGATTCCACACTGTTCGAGATCGTTCTGCTCGAACTCTCACAATGCATCAATCCCAATATGCAACCTCGATCCTCAAGAGGTTCAGCATGGAGAATTCAAAACCAGACCCCCCCAATGGAGTACAACCTCAAGCTGTCTGAGTCGACGTGTCCTCAGAACGATGCTGAACGCCAGTCCATGGTGAACAAGCCTTACCGATCGGTAGTCGGCAGCATCATGTATCTCATGATTAGCACTCGACCCGACCTCGCGCACGTCGTCCAACAACTGAGCCAGTTCCTCACCAACCCCGGCCCTGCCCACTGGCAGGCAGCCAAGCGCGCTCTACGGTACATCAGACGAACGATCAACTACGGTCTCGTCCTCGGCGGTGCGTACGATCATACCGCTCCGCTCCATGCGTATGCGAACAGTGACTACGCTAACTGTGTTATACCCGACGCTGCGTCGTGGGCGTCGGGTATACTACCGGAACTCTGCGATCTCTTGGATCGCTAAGAGGCTGCGAAGCATCGTCCTCTCGACAAACGAGGCAGAACGCATGATTCTGTACACACTTGCACAAGAATGGCTGTACATCAAGCAGGCAATTGGTGAGATGTGACATCCCATCACCACATCGATTCCTCTTCACGAGAACAATCAGAGCACCATCCAAATCGTGAACAACTCTGGCCACCATGGGCGTACCAAACATATTGATGTACGCTACCATTTTATCAACGACCTTGTGGAACAACAGACGTTTAGTCTTGTTTACACCGATACGCGACATTAAGTCGTGGATATCTTTACCAAACCACTTGATGTGACAACTTTCTGCGGTTTGCGCAGTCAACTAAGGGTGAGGCAGCTGCCGCCCGACAGCACTCTCTGACGCGAGCCAGGGAGCGCGAACTCCGGCCTCTCAGCCCATCACTGCGCGGACATGTAAGGGGGACACCCTGGACCATGTTGATTCGACATTGGGGGGTGACGGCATCGCAGTGCTTACTCGATCCATCCCGCCCTTCCACGGCGCGTCATTCGGAAAGGGCCAATTGGTAGGGACCCGCTGAAAGGGATGTCCGACGAGTTGAGTCCCGGACAAAAGACCGTGTAAAGAGTGGTGGTTATGCTCACTGAGCTTAACCGCAAGCCTCTTGCTGTACTATGGGCACCTGATTCCGGTTGACAGTACGTGGCGCTGTTGGGAAGCAGTCAGAACACCCTGTTCTGTTAGAGAACATCTCCACTGCCCTGTCAGTCAGGTTGCAGCGTCTGCTAGCTGTGTAGGAGGTTTTTGTGCCTTCTAGAGGTTTTTCCTAAGAGTAGAAGTCAGCGCAGACATTTGGTCACGGAACATCATTGGATGTAATTCACTTCCAGTTTTTCCTTCTGCCTCCCACGGGTCTGTTCCTGCCTACTACTCCAACCCAGTGGAGAGCCACTGGGTTGGACGCGAACAAGCTGGCCGACAGAGTAGGACATAGAAATTGAAATTTATGGATTGATTAAAAAGGTTATTAATGCTGTACTTGGTTGCTCCACCTTTGTTGAAAATAGACATGTCGAATGTCTTTGGCATACTACTGTACAGTGTATGTACATGCAATTGTTTTCAACTATAATAGGACGACTCAAACACGAAAGATCTAGACTGTTAAACTCGCCATCAATTGGGGCTTGGTGATGCCACGAAGGGGGGGCACCTTGGGGTTCATCCCGGGGTTGTTGTAGTTGCACCAGACGTAATTGCCGTTGTCACACAAGGACCACCCGCACCCAATCGACTTGACTTCGGGACTCATCATGTTGGAGAAGTGGCCGCACTTGGCCCAGGCCCCGTTGCACTTGTTTTTGCCGTAGTTCCAGAACGTTTCTTCTTTGTCGTACCAAACCCACGACGCCCCCAACACCTTGTCACAAGCGAGAGTTGTGTTGGCGCCACAGGGGGTATGCATGGCCAAGTTTTGCCCACCACCGGTGGGTTCCCCATGTACAAACCCATGGCACTCGCTAGCCCAAACTTGTACTATGGACGCCAACGCATCGTCCCACGTCACGGGGCCAATGCCGTGGGCGGCTCGGATTTTGTTGTGTTGACTGATCAATTGATCCCGCACCGGATTGGCAGGTGTGGTCGTGGTAGATGCAGATGTGGCCGCACTCGTCTTGGGTGCAGTAGTCGGAGCAGCAATGGGTGCGGCCGTAGGTGTAGACGTGGTGGTGGTTGGCACAGGTCCATAAGTTAACGGAGGTGCTGGAGTAGCAGCTGTTGTCGTGGACGCGGCAATAGGAGATGTGGTGGGTTTAGCGCTGGGACAATGGATAGGGATAGGCTTATAGCTGGGGGTTTGAGTGACGGGCTTGGTACTGGGAGAAGTAGTGGGGGTGCTGGTGCTCGGTAATACTGCATTGGCGCCGCACCAGTTGAATGCGGGATTTTGCGCGCATTGAGCGGCCGACCACCCAATGAAGCACGCGTTCGAGCCAGGATAGTAGCAGTTGGTGCATGTGCCGCAGACGGCGGCAGACGAAGGAGCCGGTCCGCACCATTTGTACTCAGCAACTTGAGCGCATTGAGCGGCCGACCACCCGATGAAACATGCGTTCGTGCCGGGATAGTAGCAGTTGTTGCAAGTACCACAAGAACCCTGCGATGTGGGTTGGGGGCGGGTAGATATGGTGGGGATGCTAGTGGAGGACGGCTTGGAAGAGATCGGCACCGGGGCACCAGTCCGTTTGGAAGGGCTAGGTGCAGGAGCGTAGGTGGGGTCGACTGAGCAAGGTGCAGGAGCCGTACCACACGTGTTGCTAATGTACACGTCGGCGCAGTTCCAATACTGTTCTTGGCCGTCGATGCCCACATCCGTGTTGTTCCACTCGACATAATGCCATCGAAGCACACAGTGAGCGTCGCCTTCGCAAGTCACTCCAGCGGGGAGCACCGACTGGATCGTAAACACTTCGTTGCCTGGGGGCACTTGCCATTTCGTTTCGCCGCTGGGCTGGGCCAGCGTTTGAAAGCACTCATTGGATTCTTTGTCGTATTTCGTGTCCAGTTTGCACAAGCCAAACTCAAAGTACCCCTTGTAGTTGGCCATCAATTGGACTTGGAGGTCCACGGTGGACCCCGGAGCGTAGCAGGCCCCGATGGCTTTGGCACCATTGGTGGGGAATGTCCCGTACGTGCCTCCAGTTTCATGCTGCCGGGTCCCAGAGTACGAGTCGCCGCACACGCCGAATTTGCCGCCAGACGTGGCCGCAATACCACCGGCGTTGAGACTGTGGTCGTCGTAGTCGGGCGGAACAATCCCAGCGAATTGGGCCAACTTGCCAATGTAGCCACGATGTGGCGGGGCAATCAACCGACCGTGGGCCTGTGCGTAGTTGGCGATGGCGGCCAGACCGACCGCGTATGCCGAAAGGAAGGTGGTGGACGTCATGATGTTGGCGAATTGAGTTCTGGCAACTTTGGTTGCCCTAATACTGGTAGATAGCGTGACCTCTGGCCAACTCTTGCCGACAAAGGTGGGCCAAATACATGCATTATCCATATACAGCTGTATCGGTGTGGGTATACACTTACATATGTAAATTTACGACTACCAGTACAGTACGTTTGGGGGAAAAGGCTCCCGAATTCTTAACTTCATCAATACGTATTATGTACTAGTACTACGTAGTACTCCAATTTTGATTAAATTTTTGGGGAAGTTCTTCATAGTAGTATGAAACAGATTCGCTTCATCTGACTTGTGTCTCTATTGAAAAGCGCTGATACTTTGTACTGTATTAAAATAGTCCAAAAACTATTCTCACTGTCAATCATGATAAAAATACTGCAAGTCCAATCATAATTGAGCAAGTTTGGGCCAAACTGAGGAAAGCAATCGGTTCGACCAATCAAATGGCGTTTCGGATTTGCAGTTTATTATTCATGTTCAATGTACTATTTAAAAATACGTCATAATACTGTAATCCTTCGTCGCAATTTTGTTCCGTATACTGACTGTGAATTTACTGAACCTTGCTACAACCTTGCCGCATGATTTGATTGGCTAACAAATAATCCGCAGAAAGGCAAGGAACACAGGAAGAATATTCTTGCAATCATCAACACGAAATTTCATACTTCAAGTAGTATCCAATCAAATGTCACGGCGAGGTTTTGGTATTAATAGTGCGAGATTCGATTGGCTGGATCCCGAAATTCGAACCTACCCCGAGTACTGTACTGTAATTATAAATATTAACGAACCATGACGAGGACATAAATGCCTCGTCTTCACGGTGCAATGGCATGAGGGACAAATGGAAATTTGTCAAAGCAAACGTCGTTCGTTGAATAAGTCTCAAAACCAGTAGATGGCTGTGCTACTGTATACCAGCAATATTTACAATTTGACCATGTCACATCATCAAATAGTGTGTAACGTTAAATTGGTATTTGGAGCATGCAAAAAATACCGCCATCTATTTGATCAGGTCCGAGAATTTCAGTCAAAACACATTTGCTTCGTAAAAGTTCGAGTTACTGAAATAAACTGAGACACTAATACTAGTAGCAACTAACAAAAACTGTGCGACAAATTCAACTTTATTGTTACAGTAAT